AGTGGATGCACTGGTATAATCACAGCTCACTGCTGCCTTGAGCTCCTGAGCATGAGACACCCTCCCACCTCAGCCTCAAAGGAAGCTGGGACTTCAGGTGCTTTAAGATAATTAAAGGTGGGCTTGGTACTGGTAGCTCAAGCAGCTAAGGCACCAGCCACATACACTAGAGCTGGAGGTTCGAATCCAGCCTGGGCATGCCGAATAACAACTACAACCAAAAAATAGTCAGGCGTTGTGGCAGGCGCCTATAGTCCCAGCTACTTGGGAGGCTGAGGCAAGAGAATTGCTTAAGCTCAGGAGTTTGAGGTTGCTGTGAGCTGTAATGCCACGGCACTCTACTCAAGGCGAAAGCTTGAGGCTCTGTCTCAAAAAATAATAATAATTAAAGGCCAAGTACAGTGGCTCATGCCTAGCACTCTGGAGGCAGATGGATTCTAGCACTATAAGGAGGCAGGTGGATCTATAATCCGAGCACTCTGGGAGGCAGGTGGATCCCTTGAGCACAGGGGTTTGAGACCAGCCTAAGCAAGAGTGAGACCCTTGAGCTTAAGCGATTCTCTTGCCTCAACCTCCCATGTAACTGGAGCTATAGGCAACCCACAACAATGCCCAGCTATTTTTAGAGATGCGGTCTCTCTCTTGTTCAGGCTTGTCTTGAACTCCTCAGCTCAAGCAATCTACCAGCCTCTGCATCCCAAGTGCTGGGATAGAAGTGTGAGCCACTATACCCAGTCAAGGTCTCATTCTTGCTCAGGCTGGTTTCAAACCTGAGAGCTCAGGCAATCCACCCACCTTGGCCTCCCAGAGTACTAGGATTACAGGTGTGAGCCACTGTGCCTGGCCTATTTTGTGTCTTAAAAGCGGCAGTACATGGGGCTGAGATGAGAAATAAGGGAGTTTGAGAGAACTCTTACTACAGATTATGATGGTGAGATTTAAGTTGGTGCTATAGAATCAAAGGATAGGGGAAAACAATCTTACTTTTCCTGAAATTCTCAGAGTTGTGGGCCTGGCTCACTGAGGCAGTCCCTGTCCTCACATCTTCATTGTATTTCTGGGGATTGTTCAGTGTGACATCAGAAGTTGAAGAAACAGTTGATTCGATTTGTTCATTATTTGAATCATCTAAATCATCTTTAACTGGAACCAATGTCAAAATCACACTTTCTTCATCATCTATGTCCTCCACAGAGACATTCTGGAAAGAATCAGTCACAGATTCTTATTTAATATTATACAACTAAACTGCTTACTTTTAAGGCACAACTAATGAACAAGAAACTGAGAAGACAATTGGGTAGATGGAGAGAAGAGTTCTGAGATTCCTTATACGTGATGTTTATTAGCAGAACCTTCATTGGTAAAGGAAACAATGAGAAAATGGGCAAAAGTCAATTTACAGGTGGGTGATAATGAAAGAGAAAATAAAAGAGTAGGGCTTGAGTTTGAAGAATTACTTCCTCAGGGCTTCCTCCCCATCAGCCAAAATACCAAACACCTTCACTGTGTCTCCTAAATCTGATATCACACCCAAGATTCCCAATTCAAGTTATTAAATTTCGCTGGCACAAGCAATAACCTCCTGTTATCCCCAGTCCATTCTGTTTTTTTCCTGCAGACTTCACTCTCCTACTTCTTGAAAACTTAGTGGCTTGTTTTTGTTATTCAGGTTAAAACTAAGATTAGTCCAAAAATCTGTGAAGAAATCAGTGCCTCAACAGCCTGACCCCTGCCTGCCTTTCCAGTTCAAAACCCCACCCTTTCTGAGCTTCAGCCACTAGGGGCTTATTTCAGCTCCCAGGCCTGAGCCCAGAGCAGGTATCTATCTGTTTTGCTCTTTGTAGCTTTCACTGTAACTAACAAAGCACCTAACACAATTGCCTTCCCTGTTGTTTGTGATTTAATGAATTAAAGTGGAAAAGCAGAAAACATTTACTGGTTTTCTACAGTACACAGGCACTGTGCTAAGTGCTTTCTGTTTATTTCTTCCATGTAATTCTCACGGCATACTTACAGGCATTTTTGAGTTTCTTGTTTTACAAATGAGGAAACGGAGTCTGAGGAATTAAATGAACAATGTCACGGAATAACACAAGCTCAAGTGTGCTTCTGGTTACTTTTCGTCTCAAATCCAAAGGTATTTGAATAAACTCTATTACAGCTCCTCAGTAGAGCGGACGTGGTGCCCCTCCCCCTTCACCAGTTTAACCTCCTCAATGGCTTTCTATTGACTCTCAGCTCCGGTATAATGATTTTTGCATGTGCATACCACTTTTTCAAACCACTCCCCTCACTTTCGTTCTTGTCAGCTTCAGAAAAATATTATTTGGCAAATATTTTTTGATTACAGAAATAAGTAGGGGCTCAAAGTTCAGAGTAGCTATGGGACTTGCCTGTAATCATATAAACCACTACCAGCTACTTCAGTCCTCTAGGCTGGTACAGTGGTCCCTGTAAATGTGCTATGATGTCTTCTCTGTTTAGATTATTGGATAGTCCAGGACAGCCCAAGCCAAGGGAAGAAAAAAAAAAA